TTCCAATTTGTTCATATTAATATGAAATGTGATACTGCATATTGGCGGGATAAGATTGTAACATTTTCACTTCGAAAACAATCGTGTTTTCGTAACTCACGGCGCGACGAATTGATGTTTTTGATGCTGTTTTTATCCCAGACACCGCATACAAAAACAAACGCTAATATAACGCATATGCAGGCACCAGACTAGTCCTCATTTGCATACGTGTTCAAAAATCTTGCACATGCAAATATCCAATACCAGGGTGAGAGAGCGGGTAGTGGTGGGCGCGTACTGCTTAACACCCTGGGGACGAGGTTGCGATTGCACGGATTGCTCGAAGCGGATGCCCAATCTCTGTCGAAAGGTGGCGGCAGACTTGTTAGTTGACCCGAACCGGCGAGAAGGAACTCTTACCGCAGCTGCCTGCTAATAGGTTAGGTATTGAACTATTTCTTTTGGATTTTGAGCGGTGTTAGGCCTATTATTCGAAAAGAACAAAATGCATAAAAAGCAGATATGATCCTATACGAATTGATGAGTTTTATACGGAATAAGATGGAAAGTAAAATGAAGAGACAGTTCAAACGGGGAACAAAGTAATTTTTCGATAAAGTGGATTTTTCTTGTTGACATTTAAACGATTATCTGTTTTAAAAACAGGGAAAGTGACGATTTTACTGTCATACAAAATATTATCTGATGTTTCATTTGGTATTGCATGTCATTTTCAGTCGAATCGGAAACTGCAATAGTATATACAGAAAAATAAATCTTTGAGAAATGTATAATACTACAAAAGGATTCGGATGATTATCAGAAATTACAAAACCCCAAATTAAAGTAGCAATCGCAAGTAAAGAAGAGAATGACCGCTGGTCACATCTCCTTTGTTAATTGAACACGCCCCATCTTGATCCCCCATAAAAAAAAATCATGACATTGCTCTCATCAGCATCAGCTACTTTCAGTAGATTTCAACTCCACATGATCCGTGGAGCTCACATCAGCTGGCCTAGATATCCAACAAAATTATTCAGCCATCCGTGGGATAATGTTCCATCATAAAAAAGTGAACGGTTAAAAAAAAAAACAATCGGCATCCTTGCCGTCACGACCCGGTATAGTCATATTCAAGTAAAAAGCTCACGCCGGATAATTCCATCGATCCGCCTTTACAAGATTACAAAAACAGTTCAGCGAAAGAAGGCAGGAAAAAAATCGCTAGGTAGCGGAAAAAGTGAGGAGAGTTATTGGAGCACGCTTCAAGGGGTCGTCTCGCCTACCGGTGAGCTGATATAGTAGGCCTACTCACTAGCAGCGCGATAACTAGTGTACAGCAGTCGAGCTTTTACGTCGCCGAGCACGGTACGGATGTAACAACGGTCGATTCCGAGAATGCGTGACCGAGTGAGCGCGCTCATCATAGTTACGTCATACGAACACGGCCTGTCCAAGGGCTGCTCCGGATAGGTCAATGTCATGCCAGCGTCATAATGACGTCACACGCTGTGGTTGAGCAGTAGTTTTACCAGCCTTGGGACCGTGCTGTTGCTATTCGAGGAAGGAATGAGTGACTGGTTGAGGAGCATCTCTAAAAAAAAAAATAAAAAAAAATAGGTTATCATCAAAAGATATCCGAAAATAGACCAACGACCTGAATGGTATATTTAGGATGAAAAGATCCGATTGACTATAACGCGGATATCACTAGAAACGTTTATTTTTGTAAGGAAATCGAATTGGCAAAAAGATCAAGAGCTTTGTTTTGATTCGAGTAAGTTTGTTTTTGAAGATTAATTTTTGTTCGTGCAATTATATGATAAACAATGTACCGGATCTACGTCTGTTTTTCTAAAACGATTAAATTTCGGTATTTTCGTCAGTTTTTTATTTATTGATTTTACCATTTTTTTTATTTAATGGTTTTACCATTTTGAGAATAGAGAACGGGAAAAGATAACTGTACTTCCTGTTTTATATTTGAAAGAAAAACACTTCAAATTTAAATCAATATTTTTTTGGCTCTGTCAATTATAATATATAAAACATAAGGAGATACATCAAGGAGGCACGCACCTGTCTTTGGATAAGTATGACGGAATCGAGCGCGGACATCGGTTGGTCGACCCCATTGTGAAGACGTTGTCACGTGCACATCGGGCAGATGCACTCCTCTTCTGACGTCATTTTTCCGGTCTCATAGGTTGTTTACTCAGGTGAAATGAAATTGGTTATTTAAAGGTTGGCAGTGATGCTCAAGACGTGTGACGTCATAACAGAGTGGGAACGTGATCGCTGTTATAACGAGAAAACACCTCAACGATAAACACGAACATGATGACGATGAACTGTATCATTTTACGCTGCAGTGCAGGGGCCTACTCGGCGGTTCAAGTTTCATATACGTGGACTGGATGGAGACATGACGTCATAATCATATACGTACCGGGCCACGCCCTCTCATGCTTCTCACACTTCATTGGTTGGCATGCGCCGTGACGATTCTTCCGTCCATGATGTTTAATTGGCCAATCCTCCACGAACGTGCTAGTGTGTGCGTGTGTAAGGTGCATTTAAGGTCATAAGAACACAAACGTGCGGGCCGTTCCGGGACTCTACATAAGACATTTCGGCAATGTTTGAAGTTTGACTCGTCACTAACATTTTAATAGTGCTCTGCTAACTGTGATAAACTAGAGGAGAAAAGACGTTAAATTCGTGTTCTCTTCCACCACAGATTTGTGAAATATGAACAGAAATGTGAGAACTTAGAGGAACTCTGATGTGATGCGGGTATTAACACCGAGGTTCTAGTAACACTTCGTGAAGAAAGTCAGAGGAAAAGACTTTGCATTGGTTTTGGGCGGGCCTCCCACAACCTCAATCCGGTGTCATATAAGGTTTGGACTAATATAAAATACCGTCTCGTTTACCTTTTATGGACTCTAACCCTCACACATGACCTGTCACTGTAAACTATCTCCACTTATTGGCATGCGCAATAATACTACTGGATTCGTATTTCATAGAGTCCAAATAGTCACTACACCGGCCCTGTTCTCTTGATATACCTTCAGTGTATCAATTTGTAGAGCTCCTTACAGCTGTAACGACTAGGGGTTTTCTATTCCAAATCGAGATACGAGTAACAGCGCCCTCTTCTGATGAACAAGGGAAAGAGTTCTTACGGACCGCGTCCGATCGACTTGGCTACGACTTGAAATTACACACGTATCAATGGGAAATGGCTTCACTGGATGCAGCCGCTTCCCATTGACCCGCATGTAATTTCAAGCCATATAGCCAAGTAATTCGGAAGAGGTTTTTGTCCTCGATTATGTCCTGTTACCTTTGCTCAGCATAACTCCTTTCCCTCGTTGACCCTGAAATTTCACGCGAGATTTTGTGCTTAGTTTTAACATTCACCACAGAAAACCGGCAAGAGCGGGAATGTTTTAAATCTGTAGATATCGCAGGTTTAAATCGCCCTTTTGTCATTTATTTTTGTTCGTTCAAAACAGAATGACTAATATTTAACTTAAGATTTGCTTGTAGATTATTTGATAATATGTAATTTCATTTCACAGATTTTTTTCAGGGAGGCCACCCACTCTTAGTCGACGAAGAGAAGCAAATTTGGAGGTGAATTTTGCGACAAGAAAATTCTCTGCTTTGTGAATGCCGCCCTCTATTGGTTGTTGGCGAGTTCTGATGATATACATCCGATGGACGAATTTCAAATTTGGCAGCCAAATCGAGGCTCTTAGTTTAAGCCACGTATGATATTCGGGATCTTCTTTCTTTCTTAATCCTCGCCAAAAGACAAAAGAGCACTAATGCCCCATGGGTTACAATACCAATTTGCAATGTCTGTAGTTACTCTCATAAACTCACGGATTCACAAGATGGATTCTGTCAGTTTGCTTACCCTCAAGCCTCTACCCCTTGCCACACTTTTTTATTGGTAAGAATGCGTCTTAAAAACAATTTTTATTTTCTTTATAGGCGTATAGCCTACATACTTCAAACCACTTTCATGCTATCGATCTATTTCCGAAGAGAATTTAATAGATAGCACTATGCATCATCATAAGCACGATCGCTCTTAGCATAACTTAAACTAAATCAACTGCAGCAGTACTCGGATTTGTTTTCCGAATTAGATTGTTGGATTTTCTTCCTGATACATCATCTTATCACAAACAAATATCGTTATCTCTTTATAAAACCCGTGACAGAGTGAGATATTTCTATCCTTAAAACCAACACAGAGTCGAGGCGATACATTTTCTTCCCCTCGCTTCAATCTATTAGCTGAAGCGAAGCCAAAGCAAACTGGACATCGAACTTATGTTAAGGCGGAGAAGTGACAACTTCATGAAAATGTGGACAGAAAAAGGTGGGGTGTGCTCTCATAGCCCGATGGCGATAATGATAAAATGAGGCGATAACAAGGATCGTAATGGATATTTCCCCACAAGAGTGACGTTGTATCAACAGCATAACGCGTTCGGTAGATACATGAGATACCCGAGAGTGTTTTCTTTCCCCGCCGTCCATGAGATTTTCTTTTCCTCATTTGTCCGGAGAGCAAGATCTGCAGTGGCTTAGAAGAATTTAATAGACTGAAGAAACTGAGAACTATGTGGCGAATTCAGCTTTTATATGACTAGTTATAATTAAATAGGGAAACAGCAGTTTACCTTTTGTGTTAAAAATCTTGAAAGATGCGGCCGCAATGCCAGACAATGGTAGCTAATGACCAGTATCTCAATTAGTTGACTAGGGTCGAATTATGGCCGTGAATTTGAGTCCACACAGCTCTTGTGGGTCCGTCCCCCAAAAGGAGACATTTCGTAACAAGAGAAAAAAATCGAGGACCTCGCATTTTTTTGTTCCAAATTTCAACATAGGTCGATTTTGACATATTTAACCAACCCAGCATGGGAACGAAGCCCATCTGAAAATAAAACCCAAACATTACTTGAGACAACAAACATTTGTTACAGTTTGTTGGATTTTGTTTTATTCTGTTCGTAAAAGAACGGCAATTTCAGAAGAAGTAGTACATCAACGAACAGAGCGTAGCAATCCATTTCATCTAAGATACACTACGAAGCCTTGAAACCTAAAACATTGCGGACCTGTATCTGACAAAGTTTCTTAAAATCTATTACTTGTTTTCATCGGGACCAAAATACAATCAGAAAACGACATGGAAAGGGATCCACAAGAACACTGAAGCCAAATGTTCAACAGCGAAAGAGGAAATCAAGTAATTCTTCCTCCAAGACACATCTGCAGTTGAAGAAATAATAATAAAAACTTGCAAGTAAATGGACAGGCCACAGGTGTTCAAATTTTTTTTCAATTTCATTTTTTTCCCGTCTGGAAAATAATATCAAGTCACCAGTAAGCTGCCCTGTCTCTCTGTACAGTCGCGACGTTGATATATAATTCAAGGCAACAATTTCCGCTGTGGATCTGTGTGGCGTTTATCCAAGCTATCTATTTTCGTCTATAGGTAACATAAATCTACAGTTAATTATGAGCGGTTGAATTGTGCATGAGGTATAGATTCCTTGAAGATTTTTCCATTTTCGGATAAAGTCATAAATATCAAATCTTGTATCCATTTTTATATACACTGCAGGAGTGTGAATTTTACTGTGGCCAAGATATCGACCCAGTAAACGTTATATAAACGTGGACATTGATTTGAAATACTTGTTAATGGTCTATCATGGAAATCTGTTTTAAAGCCAATGTATTTTTTTAAATCAAATTAACAGCATCTTCCAAGCATTTTGACATCATCATTTAAAACGCTACTGGTTTCTTATAAACACATGAATAGTTCCTTACTCAAAGTGAAGAATATAAAAGCAAAATCTCATCTGTAGGCTATGTCTGTTTTCTGAAAGTGCAAGTACGATATTTGGCAGTGAAAATGAAGTGTTCAATCGCTGTGGAAAGTCTTCTTGAGGTGTGTTGTAATAATATGCCCTGAAACAACTCTTATTGTGAAAATAATGGAATCATATACCAACTTAACTTATATTCCTAAAAGACCACGCATGTAAATCTACTGTATATAAAAAAAACCCAAAAGTTTTGAATTGGACTGTCGGAATATGAAACAGCAGAAACCCCCAAAACCAACCAATTGACTTTAAGGTGACAGCAAAAAGAGCAATACAAATTAGTTACATTCGATTGAGTGGAAAGTTTAATGCATAATTGGAAAAAAAATACATTAAAATAAATTTGGTATGTGCAATTTAAAAACAAAACAGTTATTGCAGAGAAATCGTAACCTATGTCCGTAAAACATTACTCCCTGTCAGTAGTACTAATCCAGTATTTTTTTTAATTGGATGTGGTTCAGAAATACAATTTTCATTTTAAGGAACAAAGGAGAAAGGAACAGCGAAAAAGACAACTTCGCCTGCTTGAAGGAGTTTTGGACTATAGAACTCAAAACACTGATGGGGAAATCAGTAACACTTGAAATGTTTTCACGTTTTTAATTATCTTGTGGTTTGCTCTTCGCATACACCTTGGGTTTTATCTTTGCCCATGTGTCAATTCTCGACATTTTGCCCTGGATATTCCTGTGACGATTATATATTATTTTTGTGTCAATTCTAGAATCTACAATATTGACAACCACAAAGCGTGGCACCTTTTATTTTTCCAAATACACTCACGACAGATAAAGTCAATGTCTTCGGCCTCAGGCGAAGCAGTATATTTGCAGTCGTGTCTTTGCATGGAAAGATGCTTATAACGTCAGTCGGGCCCCGTGTGGAAATGATAAAAAAAAACAGTTGGTTTTACCTGCGAAAGAATCTAAGAGAGTATCTTTCCAATTTCTTGAAAACACAACGCAGGTCAGGCCAGAATATTGTACTTTTTTCAAGAAGGAATTTCTTTTGTTTCATCGACGATGACAGGTATACATTTAGTAGGTTCATGTCAAAAGAATAAACTTAATAAATATCTCAAATGAAGAGAGATTCTATCGCCTTAATATAACAATGCGTTAAAATTCCCCAAGAACGTCTTATTCATGTTATACAGACCCTCATGTATTGCATTGACATTCCGTGACATGAAATTAATCTGATCAGAGCTAAACCTTGTTCCGAGACAAAACGAAACAGTCTTTAAGTTTATTACACTGTCAATTTTCATATATACAGACATTTCCCCCTTTTCTGCTGAATGCCTCAATGACAACGGAGTGACATTGCAGTGAAATTTAATTTTGAATGGAAAACATCCACCGTTTCACAGCTTTTAAAGGTTAAAAACTGGCCAGATGAAAGACGTCAGTTCTAAAGGAATGCGTTGAAAATCAACTGAAAAAAATTAGTGTCTACGCCAAAGAAAGTGTTCACTTAACAACCTGACTCAATACCCACCCCCCCCCCAAGTGACTGTCAATTAATTAAACTAGTCTGGAACTCCATGTGCAAGTGTTCGTGAACTGTTTTTGTTATTTTCGTCTTCTTTCGATGCTCGCAGACCAATCAGGATAGGCTACTCATTCGTCTGGCCAGCACGGCAACGTTTAGGCACGTGTTAAGAAGATCTGCAGAGGGAGAAAACGCAACAAAAGAAACAGCACTTGTGAGAATTACAATATTGTGTAGACAGATCATTTGGAAGAGACGTTCACATTACAGGACTGAAACGTACATTAAATATCGAAGTTAAGCTTGAATTTTTGTATACGATTAATCAGAATCGAATCTGCATTTAAGATACTTTACGAATCGTGTATATTTTTTGATGGACAGCATCCCTATCTCATACGGTTATTTGACTGTTTCCTAATCCGAAATCCGATGAGACAGGTATCACGTGACTGGATGAGGTCTAGGAGAGAGATTACAGCGCATGATCCAAAACCTCAATTTGGCTTAGAATAAAGAGATTTCAGAAAATGCCTGAACACAATAATTTGATTCACTATCAAGTGCTAGACTTGTCCCAGTCCGCCATCCATTATTTTAGACCTCTGAAGGTTTTTCAATCACCAGTCGGATATTTACAATTCACTAAGTGGCGTAACTGGGTTCGAATTTTGAGGGGTGGGGCATTTCGAGGCCTCATTTTATGCAGGGGCACTCAATTGCCATCCCCAAAATTATGAGCGAGAGCACAAGGGGAGTGGAGGTGCAGCCTCATCGGGGGGAGGGGGCGTGCCCCCACACGCCCTCCCCCGGCACTCCCACCCAAAAATAATTATGCCACTGACTCACCCTTTAGTTGACTGGCATCCCATGTCCCTTCGCTGTCCGTCACGTACTTGAGTGCGTGCGGGCAGGTCCGGAACACCTCGAACAATTGCGACACATCTGTAGAGAGAGTTTGACAGCAAGGTCGTTGAAATCAATGACAATGACGAAAACATTGTAATAAACCGCTGTCTCGAATCCAACTGAATTTTTGAGACTACAAGTAGGCCTGGATTGTTTAAAAGCCCATCATAATTTATAACCGTTCATCTATGAGAGAAATATGATATGGACGAGATCGTGTTTTGGACATCTTTAAAGTAATTCGTTTCAATGAACAAATATTAAATCCGTCCCAATTATGTTCGAAATTGCCCGTTCATGTCAGTCGTTTACGTCATAGCATACACGGAGTTGGTTGTGACGTGGTATTTAAGCACGAATATCGCCTGAAAGATCTACGAAAATGACATTAAATAGCCAATGACATTTCATAATGGACTTCAACCCTCACTGCTTAAAAAAAATCTGACACATTAATGACGTATTATGCTTCAAAGAGCAATTTTTTAAATGTTAAGTTAATATAGACATTTACAAGAAAAATGTCATTTACAAATTACTGCAGAACGAATTCTGAAAATTATGACCCATTTAATTTTGTTCATATTTTGTGCAGTTTCGGAATACAGACAAAGGCGACATTTCAATCCTGTCTTGCAAAATGATATACGAGGTTTGTCGGCCAAAGGTTCTTTAAAAAAAAATCACTCAGAATTGTTTTGTTATTTAATGCACAAGTCCAAATTATAATTAGATTATGGTTAGACATAAATGAAAAATAGTCCTTCTAATGCAACTTTATATCCACTCCGATGATATTATGCGATTTAGTGATTTGCCATCACACTGGAATCCTGCGATTCACAAAGAAATCATTATTGACCATTTTTTTACGCCTGAAATTGAAGAAAAAAACAAAGCTTTCACAGTTGAAGACAAACGGCCTTGGGGATTTTTACCGTTTGCAAACTTGTCGATACTGACAACGTTGACCTCGGCGGACGGGACGTTTGAGGAGCCCGTGTTTCGCTCCTCCTCCCCGCCGTCAGTTCTCTCGCCGCCTAGCTTCGACATCTCCTCCAAGAAGGCATCTTAAGAAAAAAGCAAAAAAGCATCTTAAAACAGAAGAAAAAAACACCTACTATGATTACGGAGTTAAGGATTTCCTCGTTCACTGATCACTCATTCGGACAATTATTAGAGTGGTTTGTCGTCATCAACGACGGCGGAAGTCAACTGGTGGTGCATTAGTCTCTACCATTTCCTCTATAATTTGTAGTGCAAGCTATTATCTTTGTTCCCTCCCTTCTGCAAATTGCAATTATCTTGTTAAAAGCCATCTTCGTTTCAATTCGACGAATGAGAAAAGCAAACATTGAATGCAACGGAAGAAAAATAATAAAGAGTAATGTAGTAACATTTTTCATCAATTTGTCATATTTTTTTTCATTGAGAAAGAAATCAAACCATGATAAAGTCGTGTTCATTGTCGATGATAAAGATACTAGAGCCGCAGCAGTTTGGAAAATCATTTTCTAAGAGTGAACTCGATTAAGTTACAATAATCCATGGTTCAGGGCCTACTCAGCAGGGTACAGAAAATATGTAAAATATAATGATCTTTAGAAGGAATGTCAGAGTGCTTGAAATACGCCTTTTATACGAATAAAATCAGTGATCAAATTGCACGAGAGGTCAGTGTCAATTAACACTACACTTTTTGAGCATCAATGTTGGAGTTCCCCCATGGAAAGGTCAAGCCGTGTTTTGCTAACTGACTGCTTTGTGCATTTAAAATGTTGGTATCCTTGTTAAGCAGTCGTTGTGTGCTCTGGCTTCAATTTTCACCGTCTTCCACTCATGGGGTCCTCAAAGCGCTCCTATCGCGTAACATAAAACCTGCGACGTGGACACGCCGCCGCGCCTCCGCGCGATAAAATAGGCCTGTTTTATTATCACGGCGCGTTATACAGACGGGTTCCTGTATATCACTCGTTTCATACATTATTCACTCGTGACTCCAACTCGCCGACCCAACGACGAAACCTCACACCGAATCTGATAGGACTTCTTGTGACACAGTTACATAAAACAAATACTTGAAGAGGTTTACCGACGGTGCATGTCGCCCGATTTTCAAGACTAGATCAAACAAAGCGAGTGTAAGGTTAAACGATGGCCTTTTAAAGTCTGAATAAAACCATCATTTAGCATCTTGGTCACGCAGATCATTTTCGAAACCTTTGAAATTGAAACACTCAACCCTGGCACCAAAAGTCTGTAACAACGACACCAGGATGCGCTCGGGGAGCTCTCCAGGGGGCCATTATTGGCAGACAATATCTTGCCAAGTATGTTATGCTCTTTGTGAGTCCACAAAATGTCAGACGACAATACTTCGACAAAATAAAACACGACATCACGACAGGCTTCTCATTCAAACGTCACAGTGAGTTCTGTGACTTCCATCTGGTTACGTCATGTGTCACGTTAGTGCCCAATTGAGGGCGCTTTTTAGTATTATTACGGGGTGCCACGTGCCCCATCGAGAACAGTTCAGGATTAAGAATGATCGTTTTTCAAATCATTTACTTAACTTACTGTCGAGTAGTCAAGTATACATTCTGATTCTGTATAGGAAGAATTCATGGTCGTATGCCGCTTTGTAAATTGTCTGTTTTGCTTTCAGATCATTGTGAACTCGGCAAACAAGGGCATGTTTTGATGACATTAACATAGCATCCGCCTATCGCTATCTGCATTACGTGCAATGCGATCTGTTGGTCTGACAGCAATATCCGTCCACACCGCCCAGTTATTGGATTCCAGTTCCACAGAGTGTTTGCAGAGACAATAAAATTCCGATTCTATCCTCAAATTGGTAAAAGAAAATCACGATGAATCTTGTCATTGATTTGTGTAGTGGGGGCGCGGGACTACATCTTGGCCGAAAGTCTCCTGCATATACGTTTCATACATATGACATTATAGGTGAAGTGTGAATTCTGGATTCCGATGAAGACAAGTTATAAACTCGTTGACGGTATTGCGCACGACTCAGTAAACGGCAGGTGAACTCACTGACGCGTGTGGGGCTGGGAGTCCATAAGGGAAAAGGGAATGGTTTGTTTTAGGAGTCAGAATTTCCTCGGACAGCGGTAAATGTCTACAAACCGAGACCCATAGCTTACCTTATAGTTATGGTAATTGACAGTTATTGTACCTGACAATTGACATTGAATCTCATGGATGACGTCAATGAAGAGCCATTACTGTTTACTGACGCAATCGGGGGCAACAGTGACCCCTTTTTTATCAAGAGGCCATGCAATTAAAAAACTTCTTGGGGAATCAGCAATTAGGCACTTAGATCACTCGATTACTTGAGTGAGTTATACGTAACAGAAATATGTTATCATAACTTATTTGCGTTTCCTAACTTTTTGTTTTACCAACAGTTTTAAGTCCGAGCCTCGGGAGTCAGCCTCTAGTTTCACTTGGCCTTGGAGAGGTCAACTTGCTGTTCGTCGAAGATTTGTATCATGAACATTATGGTTTCTTAGCTTTATTATCTGGAGGCAAATCGTGGACGAAGCTGAGGCTTAGAAAACGGCCCTGAGTAGGCCATATTAAACTGAAAGCGATATAAACTCTTCATTTTTAGAATTTGATAGTTTTCAAATGAAAGCAATGAAATCAAAGTTCAATACAAATAAATACCAGTCTGCTCTGATGAATAATTTAAAATTTGTGATTAAACATACCCTTATGTTTAAGCCACATTTAAAGAAAAACAACTTAATATGTGGATTGTAACGCACTCCGATCATAAAATAGTCTGGCACCATCCCACCCAACAGCTTACAATCTATAAAATAGATTCAGGGAACACGATCGAAAATGGCTTCCCCGAGATAAGGTCTATTAAAGTCGTTGAGCACAATCGAAGAGTGAGTCTTACCATGGGCGTCTCTCTTGCCGATACCAACGGTAGAATGCATCCGAGCCAGCCTCGCCACGGAATTGGGTGTTGGTTTGTCTCGCTTGTTTAAAACAAAGGCCTCTGAAGAAGAAAAAAAATCAAGACGATAAAAAAAATCAAGACATAAAACAGTCGTTGGATACGGATCACTCCCCGTGAATATCTTTACGAGGAATACCATTTGTCGGGTTTTCATTTTTATTAGCGAGTTGCCAGTTTCTGTTTGAGGATAGTCGAGATAATTCGAGATGATCTAATTCCATTTTCTTATCTATTTTCTTCTTTCAAGGTCAAACCTTCCTCGGGGAGAAGCAGGCTTCACGGATCACGTGAGCTAAAGTAGCCAATGGCGATAATCAACACTAATATATTCAAGAGCGGCAAATGTTTTTCATCTTTCATTATGGTTTAGTGCGTCTTGTATTTCCGCTTGACATTTTGTGTTAATGTCCAGTATTAAGGCCAAGGGGTTGGGATGTAAAGCGCGCCTACGCAATAACTCTGGTTTAGGGGCTAGCATCAGTCGCGTAAGCTAGGCGAAGATATAAATATGGTTGCAGTTATAACTGCCATTATTTGAGGTTTTTATCAATTATAAATATGCTTTTAGTGTATTTTTTTTATTGCCATCAAAAAGGTTTATTAGGGGAAAATGCAACAAATCATACAGACAACTGTACGAGATTGTAGTCTGGACCAAGTTGAGATTAAACAGTATTTCATCTACAAAAAATTGGTTACTATACGCTAGCCGGCTTTCAAACTGTGTAGATGAAACTTTACCTTTTCGTAGCCGAAGAGTCAGTTACCGAGAAAAAGAAAGAAAGTAGATCAACTAAATAAAATATGATCTACTCTTTAACAGTCAAATCGTTTTGAGACTAACTTTGACTCACTTACTTGTGAGTACAAAGCGGTCTCAAGATCGTGTTTTTGAAAATGTAATCACATCCTTAGACGAAATGGTTTATCGATTGTAAGCCTCATAAAAGCAACACGATATAGACTATATTTTTCTGGTTGCCATTTTGTCCTGTTTCTCATTTTCAGAAGAAAAAAAGGACTTCTTCCCTCAAGAGGAATGGGTATTTAGTAAGTCGTGACCTCCCTTGTTATGTTTGGTAACTGAACGACCAACTTAAGCAACCATCAAAACGTCTTGCCTCAATCACAGCGCCACGTATCGTACTCCCAGCCGATCGCGTTACGGTAACCGAGCACTTCAAGTTATAGGCCCGATATTGCAACATAGCCTAAGTAGCCAAATCGGATTAATTTCTAAACCGTCATTTGCCAGCTAAAGTGCCCGGCGCAAGAAACAGAAAGGACTGCAGAACGAAAAAAAAAAGTTTTGTAAATACCAAAATGCGACGACCTATATTTATCTGATGGCACATCCATTTAGGAGCTGATCTGCGAGATTTAATAAAATCACACCTACGGTGGGTTTTTGGTTGAAGGTGTACATCTTCAATTACGTGGACAGGCTTGGGGCTGTTTTACCCAAAGAAAAAGAATGTAGATTATTGATCGATTGTGGCTGTACTGAAAAGACTCAAAGCGAAAACACTATAGCATATTGAGCGGCAGAAACATCCTCGTGTTTTCGTGGAGGATGTCTCGATGCGCTACTATAATAATCATCATTTCTGCGGATGTTACAAAATAAATCCTCACTTGTATGTCATTATAATTTATGTATACCTTTTCCTATGCTGCTTAAAATTTTGAAGCGAAATGTATCTTATGATTTTTTTTTACCTAACGAAAATTTCAATGGTATGTTGAATGGTAAATTTAATGTAATTTTTCCTCGACTTTTCCCCCAAAGTGATCACACAACTTTTCTTCCTTAGTTCCCTGCCTTCGAAATTGTTGAGATCATGTTGTTGGTATTCAGTTGATTTTGTTTTCCAAAGAATCTCATAAATATGTTTGTGAATTACGGTACTGAAACACAAGAAGCTTTATTTATTGTAACTGCCTCTACAAGTCACAATTCAAGAACAAGTGTTTTGAGTACAAGTGAATATGCCTGAAAATGCAATCACATGAATCACAGACAGATCCTAGAATTTCGATACAGCTAAGTTGTTTTTTCCTCTTGACGTAGTTTGAGAGTGACCGCGGGATGTTTTTGTCTCGGGGTTTTAACATGCGCATCGTTAATATATATATAGAAAAAAAAATTGAATGAAAAAGAAATCACAACGCTTCACGTCTTTCGACATGCAATGCCTTTGGTAAGAATATAAATGAAAGTTGACTTGGAATTAGTTTGTGGTTTCCATCGTCATACCTTTCTTACCAGCCTACATAATTCCTTTAAACGGCGGTGGGCGCCCGTAGGCTGATCATTAAAACAGCTCAACGATTTTGGGGGCTCTTTTTCGAAGGCAAGTGTCTTCTAAGAATTTAAATAATGACAAAGTTGTAAACAAGGAGATGTGCGCGCGGGAAAGCTCTAATATATAATTGCTTGCTGCAGAATGTTTACGGGCACTTTAAAGAAAAAAAGAAGGACATTTACGATTTTGTAACATACGTTGGTTATTTTTAAACATAACTTTTGTGAATTTCCAATTACCGATTCAATGCTGCAGGGGGGGGGGTGTTAAAAAAGTATTTTAACTTCCTTTAAATGTATGGTAATGGACTCTGCTGTATATGCACTGAGATGAACCTCAGAAAGGAAGCTTTTTTTTCGAAACATACTCTTCGGAAAACACAAGTGAAAAAGGAAATGGTCCATTTTGAGTTAAGCCTGTGACTAGACTGCCGAAGAAACTTGTTTTCATCCACACATTTTCTTGTTGCAGAAGTTTGCCTGTTACACGAGTCACAAAATACGCACGCTTTCCGCGAACTGCTTACACCCACAGCCAGGACAAACAATAGATGATGACGTCATGAATGACGTAATGCACTTTTCCCTAGGCCCGTTGCGATTCCCGTGGATCGATCGTAAACGGTAGTCCCCACTTCGGGGTTTCATACAATCAGCGATGAGTATGTAATTATGGTCGCTGGGGACAAAATCTAGCGGTCACTTCTGATTTTGTCGATGGGGGAAGAGTCAAACATCAATCACCAAGGGGTCCAGGGAAGTCCTCGGAGGTCAAAGCCTACGGACGACCCGTGGTACTTCGTCCACTAACAACCACTTATATATGGTTGCTTGTTGAAAGTGTCCAAAACGTCAGTCGAGCGTTTCCGCGAGGGAGAGAATTGAACCGTTCCTCGGTCTGATGACAGCACCTCGCTATAGTCGAAACGTTGGGGGTATCACTCAGTTCCACTGCTTGACGTTTCTATTACATTCTGAGGCGCTTTTTACATACTAGAATTACTCCAAGATGGGCAAAGAAGGAATATTGTTTGACTTTATTGCTCAAGCAAAAGCACTCCTCAAATCTGTAGTCCCAGAAACATAGTAGCGTTAGCAAGGGATTCGACTATATACTCATAACAACGCGTCATCGCAATAATGCACTTATAGTGAACATGTACCTAAATCAAACCCAGCCCCCAAATATTACACCACCTGATGTCGTTACACTGTGACTGTATATACTCGAGTACAGCTCAGGGAACCCTGGTTGACCATCCAGTGGAAATTCTAAACTCCACGAGCGACTCTTTTGAACCATTTCGTGACCGGTCCAGGGCGGTTGTACAGCGATAGACTCGGGTGTTTTACACCCTCAAGACAATAATATCCCCCAAAAACTCAAAAGCAGGTTAACGAGTTGTTACGACAAGTGGAGTATTACTTATATAATAGTTATGAACACGTCTCACTCAACATTTAAGCATTGAACTTGGTTATCGTTTAGTACTGGCGCGCACTGGATATCGGCGTACTCTATATATGCACCGCTGTCAATCGCTTTAACAACGAACACTTATGAGAAGAACACACGAATAATTTCTTCCTATGACAGGTAACACTCTCATAAGTCTTCAGAAAAATAAAGATCTAAAATAATCTCAAACAACATCGTAATATTAAATACTTGATTTTTTCCTTCACGGACTTAATTTTGTAAAGTACACATAGTGTATGTTCGGTGCTTTTTAGTCGCTCTTCAGCGTATAGGCTCTAGTGCGGGATTCATATGATTCTACGAACTCCTGCCAACAATAGTACAGAAATGTTGCCACTTACCAATTTTGTTTTTTTTAAATTTAGGAAAACTACGAGCATAAGTTCACACCATTTAAGTCGTTGAAAGGGAAAACGAAATATTGACGTCTGTTCAAGCCTAAGCTATGGCGCCTAATAAATCTCAGCATAAATCTGATCATGATTTCAGTTTTTCTAAAAAGAAAAATCAAGCTTTCATTAGGCTCCCTTAGAAATCTCTTGGTATAGCGACATCAGGCGCATGGATGTAACTTTATAGACCACTTATTGTTTTTGCATATGTCTCCATTGGCCACGCTGTCTCAACGCTCGGTTTGGGTCACGAATGACTGGATTTCAGCCCCATAATGATCGGGAATAGAAAACGGAAGAAATATTGGCGTCCCTTTCACCAAGCGAACTATTCCCACGTGAGGTGCATCATATAATTTGTCTTTAGGATTAGTTTCCTGTTTCATGCTCAAACTCGTGATTGTCGAGAGGTTGGTGATGATTCCTTGACTTGTGTCCTCCGGGACGCAGCAATACCACGCCACAAGCGTGCTAAATGGTGTCAGAAGTGGCAATAAATCCTCCCCGGTTGACACAACCAAACGACCTGATGTTGCAGCTCATGTTGCATTGAAAATCACATGAAATTGATGGAGCTACTGCACTGCGAGAGTAATGGAAAGTGTCGATTACCTTCACGGGTTGAAAAACTTATTCACAAATTGACTGCCATTATTTTGATTCAGGGTTATTTTTTTCTTTTTTTGTGTAAGAAAGCCCGCTGGATTTCCTTGTTCTTGTGAGTTTGCAATGATTTTATTCGCAGTTCAGTAAAATGAGGAGTGTTGTTCATACATTGAAAAGAAACAAAAAGTGTTCATAAATGAAAGAAGGATCGTACGACAAAAAAGTGAGGTGTCGGGGAAAAAATCATCGCAATTTGACCTCAAGAATTACCAAAAAGTGGACGGTTTTAAAGAATTTCTCAAACATAAAGAAAGTGAGAAACAAAAGATGGTAACAATAAGAGCAGTATGTTGGATTTCCTGACGCGTTCTCGATTTTAAACGAGGCATTCCGTAACCTTACTTCATAATGAGTCGAAATTTTCTCCAATTTATTCTGGATAAGAGAAGCTTACTATAAAGCGGTATTTCGCCAATTCACTTTCAAATTTATTTCAATTTAATTGGATTAGGAAAGTTACTCCCACATCATGAAACGTCATTTCCGTGGGCATAACAATTTTGTCTTTTATTCACAGTGCCCAATAGTTAAAAAACAGTCGTAAATCCCACTTTCATAATTGTTTAATAGTGGCAAATCTGCCGAATCGGAGGTCGAGGTTTTGAGATAGCGAGAGAGAGGAAGGGGGATTTGAATACTTATGGGCCAGTCTCCCACGGAAAATCCTTGAAGGGCCACCGCACATCACTGTACAACAAATACAAGGAGGAAAAGTTGACGATACGGTTTCATTGTTTATGATCCACGGACAAACAAAAGACCAATTTTTATTCCCCTGTCTTTTCGGCCCGCCCTCGACTGCCCTCAGTTCGCCCCCGCAAACCGTGTCAGATTTCTTAGCAGGTGAACCGCGGGCAACGGTGCTCTATACTCCCCACCCCCCAATCTCCACAGCGATTGGTTAACTTTATATGCCGATGGAGACAAACTCGCCCGATTGGACGCATGCTGGTCACGTGACAACGTTCGTGGGAAGACAGAGATACGCGTGAGGAAGGGTTTGAAGAAACAGACGATGATATGGGATGAAGCTTATTTTCATTCGGGAAACGGAAATTGAATAAAATATGAGGCACAGTGCGCCACGTTTCATTTAGGCGTCAGATTGATATGTCTGAGAAGGATGAACGTATATTTGTTACCCGTTGCGCCAAGCATTATTAAATGTACACACTCAGGTTTTTTTTATAGAGTTCACATTACTTAATTCATGGAATGATATCTGAAAACCAAACAACAAAAACAACCAGGAGAAAGGACCAATTAAAATCAGATTACAACGTCAGCAACTCTAAGGCTATTTAGAAGCGCTGAATTAGAAGGTATTTGAAGAATGAGACAAACACGGATTATTTTTACGGAACAAAAACACGGTAATTGAAACTGACCTTCTCGAAATAGTCCCCTCGAATCCTGATCGTCACTGTAATTTTCCTGCAAAGTTCAAACACAAAGAGGATATAATGAGTTGTCTTGCCGTTATGCATACAATGTACTGCAATTAACTGACTTCTTTTCAGTTGAAATTTCAGCATTTTTCCCTTCAAAATGCACTCGCCTTGTTATAGATTAGATCAAGTCTGATTGACAGTGCGTCATAAGTCTAATTCATTTTTCTCCAATCGTGCGCTGTTTTAAAATGGAGCGAAATAACAAACAAAAAACAGATGAAAGGACAGACTGATGGACAGACATTCTATAGGCGCCAGAGTTTAAAAAAAAAGCATCAGAATGACATCAAAACAACTTCAAATTAATTATTTGTAAACGTGTGAAGCATTGGCAATCTTTCACTTTACGACGGATTTTGTGACTTTATTATTATGTTGAAATACACAGAGACAAATCAAATCGCAACAAATTTAAAAGCCGAGTGATAAACGTCGTCGGCTTTAATTTGATTTCGGCTCGGTCGTTTAACAAATTTAAGTGGTTTTCTCACGAACGATAATGGCTGAAATCACTCTCATTTAGGTTCGGGAAAACACATGCGTCATTCGGCTAAATACCCCCACCCTCCCACTTAATGGCTTCAAATTAATTTATCGTTCACACAGTCCGTCTTCATAAAACACGTCCGGGTACACCCCGAGAACAAAAGACGATGTCACCGTGGTTTCTTATCGATTCCGCCTGATGGGGCATTCATGGGACTGGCGGATGGTACTTTTCAGTCATTGTTGCTGAACGCGCCAGGATATTTGTAATTCGTTTTGAACGAGAGGCTAGAGCCACGAGGCAGCTGCGAAGGGCAGTTGTACCACCTGCACTGTAATCACATTCCAAGCCGTTGAACAAAATTATTCCACCTGTCTCGCGATAATTAATGACCCGTTCAAAATTACAAGGGATAGGCGTGTAGATATGAAAATTATTACCAATTCGGAAAAAAATGACACATCATCGTTGACGGCTGTAGATGGACAAGCCCATAATACTTTCTGAATTCTCTCCCATGAGTAAACTTCTTACAGTTTTTCATTCTTTTCAAAAAGAAACAGCTCTTCAAACGCGTTCATCAAATGATTTTTTTTGTACTGATGCCCTTAAGGTGACTATATTTGAAAAACAGTCAATATAACCACTAGTGTCGAGTGGTTCTTCAAAAACCTAAAGTTGTATGAAAATGATGGAAGACAATGGTTGTGTCAATGTCGTACTTTTGTGCCCTTTACTGAGTGCGGCTTTGGGTAAATTGGGCTGAAGTTTATACGCACTGTGATACCTTTGGGAGGACAATGCCATCAGATGTCCCCAGCCCAAAAATTATTGGGGGACATGTTCCCCACCCCCCCCCCCCCCCCTAGATCGCCGCAAGGTACATTGGGCAAAAGAATGAAGAAATCACCTAGTTGACATTTTTCTTAAAAACCTTTTAAAAAAATATCTGTTGTTATCGAACACAAATTATGTGCGTTGCTTTTCCCTTTAATAACCTATCGGTTGTGTATTCCCCCGACTTTCCTCATCTTCCACAAGAATACATTACAACACCGCACACATTGCCCAAATCAAACACTGTGGCCACCTCCTTATTTGCGGGGGAAACAGAATTTACTCGGCATTTGCAAGGATTCAGTGAGTTCCGTTGAAGAAACAGAAGAAAGAAACGAGTTCTGTCGTCTTCCCGCCCCGGGTGTCAAAAGGCATAAATGTTTGAGTTTGCCCGATTACCGCAACGGCGCAACCCCACACTAATTCAATCGGCATCAAGAACTCCATTACCGCCCGCGCGCTCGGCTGAGAAAAAGGGTTGGCCACATAGCTGCGCTGGGATGTATCGTCGGCGCGTAAAACATACCAGCCCACCGGTTTTTCCTCTCAGGGAACGAGTAGGGAGAAGTTCGCTTCAGTTCATCCCAACACAATTCATTCCACATCTTGCCTTCAATTTTGGAATGTATCTTTTTTACTGCTCCTCGCAGGAGCTCGAGCGAAGTATACCGAACCTTGGATGAACATTGCTTGCGTACGACATCCCCCCCCCAAAAAAAAAGAAGCAACATATATCATTCGCGCTCTTTACTCTTTCATTTTTTTTCCAAATATAGTAAGTGTTTTTACGTCATTCTCCGGTGAAGGGTTCAAGTTCAATGCACCAGTTTCCTTTTCCCGAAATCTTGCTTCGTCTCTGGGCTTCGGCTTTAATCTCTGGTTTCAGAAGCAGTGAGGAAGTCTTTACTGTCCAAGCCAATTAGTGCTTTTCAAAACTTTTGTCTGATATGACGTAATTTAAGGGTCCAGAAACAGAGAATGCACGGACCAGTATTGAGTCCAAAAAAGTCAGTGCCAAAATTTTTCCTCACGCTGTTGTGGGTGGTAACTTAAATAACATACCTGTGTGGTATTAACTTAAATGGAACGGATTTTTTTAACGGTTCAATCAGTTTCGGCCGCATGGTGTGTTTTTGGAATTGATTATGTACACATGACATTAACAGTACTACGAGATTTCCGTTTCGAGTGCATCAATTCTCGATGTAGCAAAAACATCGCTCGATCTCTTACTGCACTTTCAATTGACAGAAAAAAAAATTGCCGCAAGGCAGAGAGAGAGAGAGAAAGAGAGAGGGGGAGAGAGTTTCAAGGACTCCATTGAGGAAGGCATTCCATTTGCCCTTGCAATTCTATCGGGAAATTACAAAAATGGGGCCTCAATCCACCTGTCCCAAAACATTTACTTTAGTGTTCCAGTGAAAATAGCGGGGAGATTTCCAGCAGTGTTTGATATTCCTCTGTGCCGTAAACCCCACGGATTCGTAAGTGTGAATGTTGTCGTTTGATGTATTTTTCCCTCTACGTGAAGTTGGACTTTTTTTTAAATTCACAAAAATAACAATAATTACCCTATCACGGGGACAAAACCCGCGTTTTTATTTGAAGTAGGACTCGAGCCCGGACACCCCAAGCTCTAGTTCTAAATGTTGGCGCGTGTCGAAGAGTTGGTCGGAGCTACAGACAAAAACTTGAGACTGTCAGGTTTGTATATACCTACACGGAGGTTCCAGCGTGGTAGAAGGCGAGTTATGCGAGGATAAACTGGTAATGGAGGGTAAACTATGGGCCAAGTCAACGAAGTTCCTACTTAATTTGCACTGAGCTTTGAAACAACACAATGACACTGCTCAGGGATGAGACACGCGTGAACAATTATTCTGTATAACGGCCTACGAAGCCGACCATAATAATTTTTGGAATTATCTTGTTCGGTTTTACGTATAGCACGAGTATAGACATCGGCCTTCTTATCATATTCCGGTTCTAGTTCACATCCAATTGACACGGTTTTCCCCCATCTCAGATTGGATATACCATAATTCCAAGCCGGCCTGCCAAATTCAATCACGAACACGACTCAATCGAATTGTCGGGCGAAATGGAAACCGTTCCCCCTCGACGACTTTCAGCACTGACCCGCATCAAAGGTAGCGCCGTCCGAGGGCTTAGAACATGGGTAGACCGTGTGCGTTCAGCAGCCATCTTAAAGATGCTTAATGCCATTTGATTTGGTAACAATGAATGCACAAGATGTCTGCTCGTGTACATCCCTGGCCCCCTGGAACAAAAGCAGGCAACTGGGAAAGCAAGATGGCTGCAATGCGAAGGATCCTCACCTCGGATGAGCACGTGTTCAATATGCCGAATCAGGTGGTACCATTTAATCACGTGAATGATATACAAACAATATCATGACTTCATGCCTGTATAGTATACTGACAGCATTTGAATTTCCCCCAGCAGCAAGTGTCAACTGTTTATATCTCGTCAGGTATGGTGACTGTACCCCGGTGCTTGAACCCAAAATTAAAATGTGAGCTCGCCCCTGAATACATGGTGTGCCTTTCCAAGTCTTGTTCGGGTATATTTCAGTCAAACTAAACGCTAGATTCAATTGGCACGAGTTGGTGTAAATATATAAAAGAGGAACACAAATCGCATTTGTATCTGCATCTTGAAACATTAATAGAAAGTGTCTCGCGTCTGAGACCAATTTGCAGCTCAATATCTTTGTTAAAAACCCACAGAAATAGAAAAAAATCTTTGTCAAAAGATCCCATTTTTCAAATCTTATTTCTATCCCAAAACTTGAGATATAAAGCTATCATTGTATCTTTATGGTAATGCTTGTTGTTTGATATGTGTAATTTGTACACCTCAAGGGCATAACTTCCTGGGGTACAACTTCCATAAAGCGTCCAGCGAAAGCGTCGAAAAGAGACAGATTCTCGAATGGGTTAAGCTGTTGTGGAACTATTACCTTGAATACTTTCTACAGAATAAAATAAGTTGGGTAAAGCACCGTTTTGCAATGTTATTTACCCAATATTAGTATCATGAAATAACCTCATTTCGGGTTATGACCAAGTTTTGGGAAGAATCGTAGGCAGTTGGCCATTGTTTACCAAATTTGGGTAACATACCGACCTATTTATGCCACCTTTATTCCAGTGTTTGAATCTTTCAAAAAGAAAATAACCGTCCTTTTTGTTTTACATTAAAAAAAATATGTCCAATTTGTACGTTTTGACATACACTGAACCAATTGGATTTACAATAAAATCCATCGATTCTCGAATGGCATTAACTCTTACAAGACCCCTTGCTTCTTTAAATACTTACCATGAATCGTCCATAGGGTGACGCCATTGCAGTGGCTGCCAGAACACACAGTAAGATCCACCAGCTTTTTAGCACACAAGTGTTCATGGTCACGCCCGAAACACTGTGGAAAGAAAATCGAAAATGCCAACATTTTGTCAAACACAATAATCATCACTACAGAAACATCATGTTGTCATTGATTCAACCCCATCACGTGATACATTGACACCTTGCCTGAATATTTCGCTCTGACAATTGCTCTGACAATTTTTTTGATATCAGAAACATCGTGTCATTGATTCAACCTAATCACGGAGGCATTGACACCTTGCCTTGAATACCAGTACATGTAATATCCGCTTTGACTCTTTCTACGTCCGCACCAGACTGAGAAAAAGAGGGAATTAATCGAAAACGTCAAAATTTTGTCAAACACCATCCACTAAAAGAAACATCATCTCATTGATTCAACCAGCGTCTTGCAATAATAAATAAGGCGTGCGATATATTTGTTCTGACGCTGTGAACGACCACACCAGTTAAAGAAAAGGTATTCAAAATAACTTGAGTTCGTGACAAAAATAGCAAAAGCAAATCTCTTATTGCTGCAAATTTGAACTCTTTTTTCGACACTTGCCAAGCTCAAATCAAAAGTGGATTGCCTCTTTTGGGCTTGGACCTTAACTTACTTTCCCCCCCCCCCCCCTCCTTGTGTTATAAGGGTTTTACGTCTATTGAACCAAGACTCCTTAAAAGAAGGCCTACAAATGAAACCTTCTCGTGAAATTTCAGTAGGGCCGAAACGGAACACAAGTGGTACCATTCATGAAATAATATGGGAATAAACCGGGTTATTAAAATGCCCCCTTTTGGGGGTTTTATTTGTACGGCAGTGTGACTCGAGTGGTTGTGGTTTATTGCACGGGATCCACGCCGCCTAATGATGTGGGGGATAAGTTGTGGCCGCGGCGCTCAATTTTGACAATCGTTGTCATTACGTCCCCGTCATAAATTGAGTGGCCGGACGTTTAGACGAAAACAATAAACCCATAATTATGTAGGTCAGGAGACCCATAATTATGTAGGTGGGGAAATTTCTTGTTACATCAATTCGACAAACCCTGAACATGCTTATTGTAGGCAACTATAATACACAGTTACTTTGTTGACAGGAATGTATTTGTAATGGCAAAATGTTGAGAGACAGCTGGGGGGGGGGGGGGGGGGGGCCGAACTCCCCCTAAAAAAAGTGTCGGCCCACTGGAAATTTGGCAGCTTGAGAAAAAGCCCAATCCTAAAAGTTACCATGATAAGCCGGTTTAACATAAAGTGCCTTGTTTTCACGTTTGTTATGTATTGTTCATTTTAAACCGTGTTTTTCGCGATTGGCTGTTTATTTGAAAGTTCCGTGCAAAGCGATAAGCGCCACCTATTGTCTGACATTGACCATGATGTCGGTTTTGAACAGCACCACCATGGAAAGAAGGTGTCCAGTCCCCCCCCCCCCCCCCCCCCCACCCGCACCACTTTTTTTATTGTACGGAGGCCGGGTGTCTGGTAAAAACAAACATGTCTACTTTTCAGCACGGATGAAATTGGGCGCCCCTCCACTGGCCGGATGAGAACCCTGGCTACGCCGCTGTTGAGAGATTGGAAATGTAACGTCTCTTGGGAAAACACTGGGAAAATAATGCAAACAGTACTGGGACAGCGCATTGTAAAACCGAAGAAATCACATTATTTCTGGACCAATTTCTTCATCTGTGAGATTGGGTGGAATGTATCGCCAAAAGAAATGGTTTTTTTTTTGAATCAGCAGAAATTTTTTGGCCTTTGTTGCCTCAATCGTAATTACCTCAGCATCTCGTCTGCCGAATCGCACACAATAATGTAATCGAACCATAGAAACATTTGCGTTTATCACGAGAGTATCATGGGATTATCCTCGGGACGGGGGAGCAGGGGAGACAGTTGAAATGACAACCTTGATATATATTTCGTCCAGAGCTCACAATTCAAAATGATTTTGTTGGAATGAATGTATTTTCTTTAACGGCAAAATGTGGACAGAGATTGGAAATTCAGAGGCTCTTCCTCTTGGGAAACCACTTGGCTAGGATCACATCCCAAGAAATCGACTGCATGGACTCAATGCTAATTTCATCATCTTTAGTGTCGGGCGGAACGTATGGCTAATATAAATTTGATTTGAATGAGAATGTTCTTGCATTTTGGTGCCTTATTGCGTCTTTGTTGCTTTCTCCGTAATTACTTCACCATGAAACCCATTCTGCTGTATCGCAATATGTAATCAAACCCCGTAAAAACATTCGTGTGTATCGCTCAAACGTAATACGTGGCTGATTACCAACGACATCTTTGATACATTTCACCCGGAGCCGAGACACTTAAGCGTCCAATCACAAGGGTATCGTGGAACTATACCCTGGGGTGGAGCAGAGGAGGGGACGAGTTAAACTAAGCTCCAGGCTTCCAAACCCCTGCATACACTATACAATATGTAGGGCTGATTTGGAGCAAAGTGTCGGACGGTTTAGCCGCTTGTGGCCGAAGTTTCATGATAAATGCCACAGGTGGACAGAGCGTGTGGCGTTTTGCCAACTGTGTCACACTAAGTCATAGGGGTCGGTAAAATCACTCCAAGCATCACAGGTTGCATAAGTATAAATGCCTGAAATTGAGCCGTGTGATCTTAACTCTGATTAATTTGCGTAACCAGTGGCTCATTATCAGTGATATGAACTAAAGTATTATGAAATGTGAACTGTCATGCAATCCTGTGATCTGTTTCATCATTACCGTTATAATTAAAAACCGCGTCATGGCATCTGATCATGATTATCATCTCATATCTTTCCGTTACATTCGCGTAGTAAACACGAATGTTAATTCAATCAACGCCGCAGAACGATAAGGGAGGCAATCAAATAATGCATAACGTGCATTCTGAAGTTTGAATAAAGTCGACGTCATTGAACATTCAGTTCACGTGTTGGCCACGTGAAATGATCAGAGTGAATTTTGTTTCTCATAAAAATGCTTCTTCGAATAATAAGACGACTGGATATCTTGTTTTGTCTCCTGCACATTGCAATAAAAACACTGCCTGACCAAAGTTATTAATATAAGATCCAACGATGATGTTTTCTCCAACTTACGACGAATGAATAAGCAATTATTGGTCAGCGGGCGAGGAGTTATCGCCGGCCGAACCATCGCCGACCGCCCCGTAATCCCTGACTCCCCAATGCAATTTTGTTCAATTTGATCACTGAAGACTCTCCTCAGCAAATGTCACTGTTTTACAAAGCAAGGTATTTCGCTATAATCTGACCAAGATAAGTCCCTTTTTTAACTGGGCTATGCAGCCCTTTTAAAGCGAAATTCAGATCAGGTAAATAACTTGTTGCCACTATAATATAAGGTGTCTTAATCATTTTTCGTTTCCAATCATTCTTCTTTTCCAAAATGATATTGAAATAAAATACGAGTTACGCACTACGATTTCTCACACGGAAGCGTAAAAAAAAGGAAGCAATTGTGAACAGAATATTACATCAGCATTTTTTCACGCTATGTTAATATTTAAAACCTAACTTTACGGTCACTGAATCGAAAACAACAAAATTGGAGGAAGGAAGGAAGAGTGGCATATATAACTACGAGCCAGCAGAACATTTTTGGACAGTTATGATTGAACCCCTCCACCTTAAATGCCGCAATTCCCCATACAGAGCAACAACCAATTACTGAAAAATCGTGTTTTCACTGAAATGATGTATTTTTATTTTAATATTTTATTTTCCTTTGAATGAAAACGTGAACAACACTGCCAGTGAGGTTCTCGTGTTTTGTCGAACAAGTGCGTATACAAAAAATACAAAACGATAAAATACAACTGCGATAGGAAAAGGTGTCACACTTACAGTACTGAGACAATCAGATCCACGACTGTTTGAAGAACAGCAAAATTCAAAACGGTAACTTGAAGTCAGTGATGAGGATGAACGAACGCCGCCAACTGTTATAGGAACTCCCTCAGTACAGCTGCTTTGACGCCTAAATGTTTGCTCGCTAATTTCATCTGCCAGCTAATACGACGTAATGGCATTAGAGTCGACACTTAAGACCGCACAGCTGGGCTATACATCCCTCCCACCACACGGCATATTATTTTGTAGTGATGCGACGCGGACGCGGAACTTTTTTGCCTTTCTACACTTGTCGGTTCACTCCCAAGTACTGGCGTATCCTGCAACCACCACTGCTTTGTACTAATAACGGACACAGTCAGTCCAACGTGCGGCCGGATAGACCGCCGGTTGCAGTAATTGCGCAGGCGTACGTGCCTACAATCACGCCTATTTGCTGTCCGATCTCCGCGTCACACTGTCGGAGTTTGCAACAAAACAGAAAGGACACATTTCTCAAAGAAAGGGAGAAAAGATCGCGAGAAGGTGTCGTCATCTTGAGCTTGTCTTGCCGTCACATCTCGTTTAGACGCGACACCAGCGTATTTTTAGAGTTCAGATTGTACGCGCACTCGCTGGCTCATGTTGTGTAATTTTATATTTTAAAAGAAGAATGTGACTGAACTAATTTCATTTGTGGGTGTACGATGGCGGGCGACTGGGACCCATGGACGCTACCTCCCTCTCCAAAAAGTCCGTCTCACCCCAAATTATTTTTGTATGTCCTCTGTCTCAATTCATGCGCTGTCTCTTACTAAACACACTGCGTGTAGGCCTTTTACAGTCATCAAGAAAATCATATTTTCATCAAGTAAGGGTAAAGATTTTGAAAGAAAGAACAAAGGAAATAGTCCTTTTTCTGATCAAAACCTCTTGGTAGAAAAAAATAAAAGCTAAAAGTAATATGATAAGCAATTCAAACAAAATATCCAATAATTTCTTACATTTCAACATGTTTGACGTGCAACCGACAAAAAAATTCATGTACGTATTATGAAATTTAAGAAAGACTAGATGACATATTGAGAGTGGTTAACGTTCAGACACAAGTGTAAAGTAGATATATAAGTTACATGCACTTTTGGGCGACAGCAGATCGAAAATGAATACTGACCCACATGTACATGTATACAGTGCGGACGATTGGGAAACATTACATGTCCCAAATCAAACTCTGATGATGTTCAAGGTATTGATCAGAATGAGTAAAAAATAAATTAAAAACCTTACCAATAGTTTTGCAAAATTACCAAATGTTTCCTTGACAATGAGCATCTATACTGATGACGTCACACTGTGTTTACATGTGTGCTTTTCTACGGGGCTACGAAACCGTCGTCCCCACCAGGCTCCCATAAGAAAGCACACATGTTAATAAAGTGTGACGTCATCAGTTCAGGGCTTATTATGAGGGAAAGGGACGGCCATAGTTATACTTGGGCTAATTTCACTTAACGCAGATAGTTCCATTTTCATTAAAAATACATTGGTGAAGGGCAAAACCCAATGCTGATTTGAACATCTTCCTGAGGGACAGTCCATCCTATAAATAGTTTCGATGCCTAAACAGGTTACCAGTTGAAATGTAACACCATGCTTGTGACCGAACTTAATCTATTTTGGCTTATTAAGTGGTCTACCTAGCGACTCAATGAAATTGGGTGCCGACCTCTTCGTCATTGAATATGAGCATACGCAGGATTGCTTAATTGAGAACAGTGGGAGACCAGTCTATCTGCTGCCACCAAGAGTTCCAAATGGGCCATCTATGCACCCCATACGTTTTGCAGTCCTTTACCTCCATGCATCGAAAACATAAAAGTAGACGGTTAGTTCTACAAGCGACCAAGCGGCAATAATGATACATTGTGCAACATTTGCCACGTCTTAGAGGGCTCTGACCTAAGACTAAATTAATGTAAATCTGTAGCAAGTGTCGAACATTAATAACATAGATATCTCTCTCTCTCTCTATAAAAACGTACACTCTAAAAATCACGGTCCTATGGGTCCTGAAACTTTTCCGGGTCAAAATGACACTTTTCCGGGTCAAAAAGCCACTTTTCCGGGTCAAAAATGCCACTTTACCGGTTCAAAATGACACTTCTTTTACTCATTTTCCGGGTACTTTTGACCCCGAAAAGTGTATTTGACCCGGAAAAGTTTCAGGCCCCATAGGCTTCCGGGTCAAATCTGCCCAGGATTTTGTTAGAGTGTAACTTATGTAGCGATCAGACTTCAGACAAGTCTAACTTTGTTTGGACTCGTCACGCAGACTTGTAGTGTCCATACTCACATTTCATAGTTCCGAGATGTACTGAATTTCTGTCATTTGAATTACTGAGTACATTCTCGCGGTTAATCATCATCTTAGTTATCATGTATAAATATTCATATTATTAGAGTTATGAGACAGCGTTTGTAGACTGTTGTAATACACCGAACGTTGGGCCAGTTTTGTAAGCTTACCCACCCATTACTAAGAGCCCATATGCATAAGCCCCTTACCATTTATTATAAGTACTGATAGCTTATTATATTGCTTATTGTGGTAGCTCATTCTTATATCAGCCATTGTAGCAACCCATTACTATATCAGCCATTACTTAGAGCTCATTCCCATAAGCCAGTACCATCAGCCCACCATAAGCTCATTACCATTTAGTAAAAGTAGCCCATTACCAGTAGCCTATTAATATTGCTAACTGTGGTAGCTCATTGTGATATCAGCCATTGTACAAGCTCTTTATTATAATTATCAGCCATTGTGTTGCCCTGATAACTCCTTATATTATTAGCCCAGTATTGGATTCCAGTCTGTGATATATCGTCGGGCGCACCACGAACCGGCGTATCTCGATTTTTTGCCAAATTGAGTTTTTGTCATTAACGTTATTATTTCATCAAAGTGCTCATTCTCAGAAAGTTTTATTCCGGTCGGAGTTCTAATTAACTAAGAACGCTAATTAGACTGTGTGGCGTATCTCTAAAAAATGAAAAATGCTGCACCACGAAGTGGCGTATCCCGATACGCCACTTTACACGCTAATTCTCATAGTGCTATGACGTCACAAAGGAGCGTCGACATGAAAAATTGGAATTTAGCGTTTCACGAACCGACGTATCTGCGCATCTGGCACACGGCCACTATTACGCGCGTTGTATAACATAGGAAAAACATGATAAAAATCGGTTTCACGAAGTGACGAATAACTGGAACTGAATTTCCCAAAACTAAGCAACTCAGATGCACACGGATTGCATACAATAAAGTTCAATCTATATTTTAATAGCAAAAACGAAACAGCGTGAATTCTTACACACGGAGTATGGAATGAGCCTACAAAATAATGACCAACTTTAAATCGGTTTTTCTCGAAACACAAAAAATGCGATACGTCGGTTTGTGGTGCAACCGACGATATGCCAGGCTTACACATCGTTTTGAACCGCAACTTCCTGGCGTAGAAGACATCAACTCCTTTAATTTGCTAATTAGATATACATAATTCAAATCTAATTCTTGAGGTTGATTCTTGCTTATTTCCAAAGATTCCCTTCTCATTAATTTGCCAAAGAGGTTGAAAATTACTAGTCAAGTGGACTCACCACCTAGGGTTACACCACGCTAGTATAACCGTGACATCACTCATAGATATAGGGAATGGTCCTATGCCACAGGGGTTAAATTAAACACCGCTTTGTTTTATAGCAATGTAACATTCAAAAAAAAATTGTCGGAGCATTGCTTGAGCTATATCTGAAGCAAAATCTTGGGTTATATCTGATTAGTTTTAAAATAATTTCATTGATGATTACAATAAATGGACTACATAAAGACCTTATCCTCGGTTGCTGTGTACTCTCTTTTCGTCGCTTTGGACAACTGTGATGGTTCTTTATTGCGATTGAAAATGCTTTGTACAGCTGTATATAGTGCAGCATTCAGAACAATTCGGATCTACCCGTGATTAGTGTTTGGCGCAATTGGCCCGAAAAGCTGACTTGGCGCGTGATCCGTTTGACCTAATTGCAATTTTCACGGACCCAATTTTTACGGTCCTGCTGGTTTGTTTGATAGCACCAAGGCAACAATTGGCCAATATAAAGGTCGTGAAGTTTGTCAGCCCACTTGAATGTTATTATCTAAGGGAAGTTTCATTAATTAATAACACATTGGGGTTGCATCAATTCGTTAATTGTTTTAATATGTGTGTCGGATAAACTGGGATTTGGTTATAATAATTTGCTGAGCTTTTTTGTTAAAGCTTAACTATATATGCTTATTTGTTGGAGTTATTACGAATAGGTGTTCACTTCATTTGCGAATAAATTCAAAAGATAAAGTGGGATGCCGCCATAAACTCATACTTAGATCTATCGTTGAAGGAGGATGTATCCAGAATTTGAACTAAAAAGAGTGCTTGCTTTAGGCCTACTCATCACTTTAGAATAAACTTCAAATGTAATGCACGTGTGTGACGGAGCGCAATTCATGCGTTATCGTGCGAAATTGCTCCCGTCGGTTTGATTGCAAGTACATAGGTGGTGTTGCCCGCCTTGATGTTCTCCCTCCAGCCCGCACGATTATGCAGGTCTCGCGCGCGGTAGGCAAACGGTTTACGAATTCCAAGTTGATGCAATTTTCCCTGGAGACTACAGAGCGGAAAAAAGACCCGCTCCTAGAAGATGTCATGGAACCGACTCGAGTTTCCCACCGCGAATATGATACTAAGCTGTAATGGACGAACATATCGCGTAACTTTTTTCATTGATTTTTCTTTTGTTGCAAACATTGCGTCGCTTTTTCAATTCCTGGATATTGTACTGGATATGGATTTAATTACGTACCTCTGCTCATTTTGATTCCATTCATATATTTTTTTTTGGATGAGGTAGAATCAAAGGTGCAGGTTTAGATATCAAAGAAACTCATAGATGGACAATGACAAACGCAATGACTTCAAACGATGTATGACGAAATAGGAATCGCCGTCCGTGCCAAGTTCCTCGGTGTTCCGTCTTGTGTGGAGGCGAAGATTACAAAAGAATGAGAGGTCTTCAATGTCATACAATATTTGTAGCTTATGACTGCAAGCGTTGGCCTTAACCCTAAAAGGGCCGGGAATCCGCCCCCTCCCCCTCAACTTTTTCCGCGATAGCCTCTAGAAAACAAAAATTCCGCAACCCGAGCTGGTATGACTTTTTAGCCTCGAGCCTTGCGCATCTTTTGATACCAAAAACATAAAAATCGGACCAAATTTTTATTCCGGCGCTACGCGCCGTGAAAACTGAATTTCCCCATATACGTC